CCCCCCCTCTCTTCATCTAATCAGAGAAAAACGGCACGAATCAGTAAGCTTCGCGAAGATCACGCCATCGACGATGACGTCAACCTACGCTCTGATTCGACGGGCAGCGACAAACTGGGTTGCAGAGCACACGGAGAACCGGCGGACGATGATGGCGTCACCTCGACGACCATCGATGATTCCGGCAGCACGAGCCAACAAAACCACGAAAAGATTGCAATTGAAGATGGCGTCAACATGGACTCTGGCTGGATCGTTTGTTGATACGCTTGGTTCCTCATTCATCACTCTGCTTTCTCTCTCCGCCATAACATGCAACCAGGAGATCGTATAATTTTGGAACCCCCTGCGCGTCACATATGTGACGAACTACTTCCCGAACCCGTGCGATCTTTCGTACCCCTTTAATTTAAATTTTTCTTATATCATAATGACCCCGTTTTATTTCTTGATTTCCGGCGCCGTGTTTCGGACCCCCATCTTCCGGAAGCTTTTGTGATTCTTCGGTTCTGCTTTTTCTTTTGCACGTTGGGAAATGCATAGGAATTTACGCGCGCCTTAGCGAGCGCACTGGGAATTGGGCCCGACAATTGTAAATTCCGGGATAAGCGGAACTTCGACGTGTCCCTTTTGTGTGTGAATATTCTCGGTCGCGATGGGGGAAACTCTCGGAATTTTGTGGGGATACGAATAGGCATAGGACTTTCTTTTCCCGCGTCGCTCTTTCGTGCGCGGATATGGTGATTTCAATTTTGAATTGGTTTAGGATGTAGGCAAGCTGTAACTGTTTCAGTGCCTTTTTCTCTTTTTCAGTGCCGCGAATGCAAAGCTTTCTCCTCTCTGTCCCCGCATCGCTCTCTCCCTCGCTCCTTTTTCCTTCCTCCTCCTCTTCCTCTCTCCTCGTAACTGTTTTTCTCCCTCTCTCTCTCTCCCGCTCTGGTCTTCGCGCGCCCATTTCCCTTTCTTGATCATCTGAATCTTGGACCCGTCTTGCGCTACTTCTCGCGCCTTTTCTTTTCTCACCCTTCGAGCAAAGCTTGCGAAGTCCGGTTGATCCTTCGATTACTCTCGCCCACCAATCAGACGTGTGGTACGGTAGGATCTGCCTATTGCGCGATGAGTCTGATTGGCCGATTGCCAAGTTTCGAAGGATCAGCATGGCTTTTTTAGCACGCTTCTCGCCAAGTCTTCTCCTCCTGCTTCTCTTCTTACACTTCGACTTTCCCCCTGTCTTCTCTCTCCCTTGTCTCCCTCCTCGCCACTATAAATTCTGCAAACGCGCCCGCAAATCTCTCTTACGTTCTCGACTCCCAAGCCAACTTACAGGAAGCAGTGGCTAGGTTGAGTGTTTTGTGCGAGTCAGAAAGTCCTGTCGGGCTGACGATAGGCTGGCCGGTTGTGCGCTTGATCGCCACGACGGACTGTCGGATCCGGGCGAACCGCGTCGAGTTTACGTCGGCGGGGTGACGATCACAGTGGTGAGAGTTAGCACGCGACGACCGGGATCGTCGGTGCAGGTATCAGGATCAATGATTAGAGTTGAGTGGGTGATTGATCCGGGGCTATATTGGAATTAACGACGAATGCGACTTTGTTGTTGCGGATCTTTATCTCTGGCTTGAGTGCACGGCGGCAACGCCGAACTTCCTCCTTTTCGGATCTTGTCATCTCCTATCTCGACTTTCCTCCCTCATCTCCCTCTCTCTCCTCTATCTTTGAATGATGATGTGTCTCGGTGTTGGTCTCCCCCTTGATGGCAATGAGTCTGTGTGCTTTCTGGTGTGAAAGAACTTCTTCCAGAACTCTTGCATTAGTTTCCTGGGTAACCCCTATATGTCAAGGAATTGATCCTCTTGTCTTGTGAACGATGGATGCATGTGTGCAATTCCCTCGGTTGATTTCCAACATGTGTATCCCTGTCATTTTCGCACCTTCCACAGTGAATGTATGTATGGGGATGCTTGTCTTTTCGTGTTGATTAGGCGCAACACTCGGTGCACTGGGATTTTGTCTGAGAATGCAAGAGTGTTTATATTTGTAGTTCTGAATGCACTGCGCATGCCATCTGCCTTATGCTGCCCGACATCGGCAACCGATCTAGAGGGCAGCCTCGAGAAACAAGGCGCCTGGGATCAACGCCGCGGTGGCTTGCTAAACCTGAGTCGCGGGTCAGTCCCTCAGTTACATGCATGATCAAGATGATGAGTGTTTTCTTTCTCTCTCTCTCTCTCTCTCTCTCTCTCTCTCTCTCTCTCTCTCTCACTCTCTCTCTCTCTCTTTCTCTCTCTCTCGTGTTGAAAAGGATCGATTGGTAGTGGTGCGAGTGTTTTCTTTTCTTGATGACGTCTCAGGATTTTTGCAATTGGTTGACATGTGGACTGACAAACACCCTTCGATCGGGCGTCAGCCTCCCGTATCTCCCGTTTCAACACGACCTTTTCCTTACAACGAGGAAAGGACACGCGTATGCGAGTGGGACGTACGAAAAGCCGTCGCACGAATTGGCGGGCGATATTACTTTCCTCTGGAAAACCGATGTTCGGGGTTCGTAGAGGCTGGGTTTGTCATTATTGATACACACTTCCCACCCTACTCGATATTGTTGCCATTCAACGAGTTGATAGTCATCCCGTGGACGGCAGTAGAACCCCACTGGCCGCGCACTCTATGCCCCGAATGCCAGCGCTTTGAGCGCTACGAAACAAAGGGTTTCCACTACCGTGTGCGGAGTGAGGACGAACATAGAGAAAGAGCCACGCGACTAAGGCCCTCCACGTCGGATTCAGAACTGGTCAGTGAACGACGACGTGACTTAATACGAAAACGAGACACGCGAAGCGTGCCGAAGCCTTTGTGTTCTAAACGACGGTCCATAGCCAGGTGGGAAGTCCGACAATATTTTCTGGATTGAATTTGTATTTCTCTCTCCTCTTGCGCCAAACTTCCGCGCGCACTTTGCGTCGCTCGAAAAACGATCGACTTACTTCGTCGGACCAACACGAGGGATCTTAGTTCCGTCTGTGTCCCCTCACTCAACTTCCAAAAATCGTTGGCACACCCCATCTTGCTGTTTTTCTGGTCCTCTTTCCGCACATCTAGCACTCCGAACGAAAGACAGCACAGGGCGTAAGGTTTTGCGCGTCACAGCCGCTCGTTACACAATTCCAAGTCTGATGTGGACGGCCTTAATCGCGTGGCCCTTTTCTTTTGCTCGTCCTCATTCCGTACTCGGTAGTGGAAGCCCTTGGATTGGTAGTGATCGAAGCGTTGGCAATCACTACACAGAGTGTTAGGCCAATGGAGCGCCACTGCCGACCACGGGATGACGATCAACTCGTTGAATGGTAATAGTAATGAGCATGGCAGAAAGTGTGTATCGAATCACTATCGATAATGACAAACCCAGCGCCGACAAACCCAGAACACCGATTTTCAGGAGGGAAATAATATCGCCCACCGATCTTGGCGACGACTTCTCGTACGTCCCACTCACACACACCCGTCCTTGTGACGCCCAACCTCACGCCCAGCGCCTCTTCTTGATCGGAGTAGGATGCGGGCCTGGAAGTGCGAAAGGGGTGTGCCAAGGATTTTTGGGAAAGTGAAGTCCCAGGTCGTAACTGAGATCTCCTGTGACAGGGTCTTTCGGGGGCACAAGTGCAATTTGGAGGAAAGGGCGTCTCCGGGTTACAAGGCAGGTGGTATGTGCGGGTTGCTCAAGATCGAGCGAGCCAGTGGTTTCGGGGATGGTGGTTCGTGGGCGGGTCCCATCGGGGTAGGTGAGGTTCCGATGAKTCCGCCYRTCGGGGATTGCCACRTGGYGCTGGTCGACRMGCGTTCGGGTWAGGCCCTCSGAACTYCGGGGTTCTCTGATCRCCGCRTCGTCGGCAGTTCTCGCAGGGTGTGTTGGGCCAGTAGGGGGCTATGGTCGGCCAAGGAACGACGCTGAGTTGATGGTACGAAAGAAGAAGGCGAAAGGGAGGGAAACTGGTGGTAATGACGACAAATCCCAGGTGGATGAAGTAGTAGGTATGGTCTGGAGAAGGGAAATCAGAGCACTGGGGGTCGCTAGAGGTGGCGCAGTGGAATTCCCGAGGACATAGTCGATTCTTTGTGTGGCAGGGGTATCGCTGCCTTAGGATTTCGTTTATCCAAGGGGTGAAGTAATCCGGGTCGTAGGATGAGTCGGAATTCCAGGATCGTGTCATCATGTCATTGCGGTATTATGAGTTGGCTAAGGGCTGGTCTGTGGTGACCGTGGTCGCTGCCTGCGAGCACGTGCAGGCCGCGCGAATGGCGTCGAACTTATGCGTGCTCGTGCGGGTCGAGTGCGCTGTGGTGGATTCCGAGATTGCCACTCCCAATCGGACAGATTGATGGTCCTGATGAGTTCACATTCGGGGATACGTGTAATGGCGCAACTCAGGTCGCGTTTTACACGTGTCCTCGCGCGGCGTTCACCGAGCCCGGTATCCGACCGTCTAATTACTCCGTGATGTTCTGGTTATGCAAGATGCAATGATCACAAAACAGCTCGATAAAGACAAGCAAACACACGGACATAATTATCAATTGCGCAAAATTCCTATTCTACATACATGTGCATCGAATGAGTTGGACAACGCAAAGACAAAAGATTCCCCGCAAAAGGTAAACAAGCAAGCATAGCCTCCATACATCCGCATCCTCAGTAATCATACACACGATACCCCAAAGGCAAGGACAGAGATCAGAAACGATAGAAACATGGCATCCATACATTCATAGTGCATTGGAGAGGGGGAATCGCAAAGACAAGTGTGACCAAAAATCCAAGTCCGGGTTCTGAAAAACATAAGGGAAAACACAAACGGGCGAATCGCCCGAAGCCGCAATTCAAAATTTATGTACACAGGCAGGGAGGGGGAAAAGACAAAGAATCAGCAAATCTGCGTCCATCCACCTGAACTCTCTCTCCCCCTCTCTCTTCTTCTCTGATGTGGACAGTCAGTCGTCACGCACCAACCACGAAGTCGTCACCCCGCTTAGTCCTCCCGCACCCGTCAGGTTCGCCCGCGCCCACAGTCCGTCGTGGCCCGCGTTAACCCCGCGCGTTCGGCACCAGCTCGTCGGGGCGCCCGACTCCTGCTCTACTCACCTCTTACTTCGCTCGTGTGCCGACCCTTCCTGATCGTGCAACCCCGAGCTTCTAACAGCTGGTTAAGAGAGTTAAATAATCGCGCAGCCGGAATTTATAGCGTGCATGCATGCGCGAAGAACACGAAATTACAAGGACTTAGAAGAAGGAAGGGGGAGGAATTTGCCTACGTCTGCATGGTCTGATCGCGGCATGGGGGACGTAGCCGCTCTCCACGCATCGATCCGATCATGCAGACCGCGGCTACCAAAAGCGCAGCAAGAAAAAGAGAAGGAGGGCGGGAAAGACGAAGCGCAAGAAGAAAGATACATTTACAATGGCGCCCGCCCAAAATTACAGTTACGCACACGATTAAAGGAGCCTACTAATCAGAGTTCCGTTGCAGCCGCATGAAGAAGCGCGTAGACAAAAAGTGTCGCGCAACAAGAAAAATCGCAATTACGAAATTCGTAAATTCCTATCTAATGCGAAGAAGCAAAAGCACAAATTCCAGAAGGAAAGTTCGAAATTTTGAGAGCCATCGGGGCTTGACAAAATTCGAAAAAGATTCAAAAGAAAAATTTAAAAAGGAACGAAGCAAATTCCCGCACGATGTCCGCGCCCAAAAGTTTGGAAACGAAGCAAAAGAAACGACGTCAACATTTATCAATCGCGCGCGCGGTGGCGCGCCAGCCATTCGGTCAACCAATCAATCAATCGACCATCCTAGGACACACCCAGCTCCGAACCCAGCCATTTGAAAAGAAGCGACGAAAAAGACGAAAAAGCAAAGACACTGATGCAATTTCCCACCGATCCCGATCTCCCGTAATTGGCCCAACCTCATTGCAACCGCGCAGAAAGTCGCGCGTTACAGAAAGTGGTTCGTCACATATGTGACGCCCAGGGGGTTCCAATAGTAGCAAGCTCTTGCTTGCTTGTTGACACGTGTCAATTTCTCTAATCGACCGACACGCGGAGCATCTCTCCCTATGCCACTTACCATTCAATTGAGTGTGGACGTCGTCCAACGTGGCAACACTGCTCTTCTACTAATTCCTCCGGGTGGGCTTTTGACATTCCAAGGAGGGGGATTACTAGTTTACGTGCCGCCGTTATGACACGTGTCCACTAACCATGCATCAATGCAAAAAAAAAGAGGGTAGACCCTAGACGTTCCCGGGAAATGGCAGTCGAAAAGTCGAGGGTGGAGGTGGCGGATGGTTCAGGGGGAGAGCGGGCATGAATCGATTGATGGTGGGAGAGGTGGAAGGAGCAATGGATGCGGGGAAAGCGAGGGACCTCATGAAGATGGCGAAAGGCGGCGATGTAGTCGGGGTAGATGGCAGAAAGGGTCCGTCGCAGGGCGGCGTGACAATCTTCGTAGTTTTTGCAGGCGGCAATAGTTCCGGATATAATACAGTATATTTCTACGTGGTTATATTCCTGCCAGTCTGCGCTAAACAGGAGCACATGAAGGAGAAAGGAATCAACCACAGAGCGGGTGGTGGCATGCGGATAAACGAAGACTAGAAGGCGGGTAGCGTAGACATAGTAGAAAAGGTGATGGGGGAGAGGACACCAACCATCGGGGAACGGGGTTCTATCGGGAAGACGAGTAAGCATGATGTAGTCACGGGGTCGGCGAAAGAACGACCGGGGAGGAAGCCCGGACGCCGAGATCTTGATGTAGACGAATGGAGGACCGGGACGGGGAGCCGGAGGGAGTTGGCGATTCACTTCTTCTTCTTCTTCTCCGCGATCCCTCTGCTGCGGTTCCATCGTCTTCTTCTTCTGGCAGCTCCGGATCACGCCACGGATCCCCGATCGATGAAATGTTTGCCGTGGGTTGTTTTCCCTCCGCAGCCTTTTGGCGCTTCCGTTTCCTCTGCTCTTCCTCCTCTTGGTTCTTTTCCCGCGGCTGGCTCGATCCGCTGGCTTGCCCTGCTTCCCTTTCCGGGACGTAGTCTGGATCGTCCCGTTCTTCACTCGATGGCTCTTCTTCTTCCTCCTCTTCGTCTGCTCCCCCTATCTCCTCGTCCTGCTACGCGTTTCTCCTCGCGATCGAGTCCCAAAACGTGAGATCGGTAACGTCGATCTCCAAGTAAAGCGCCTGGGATGGATAGAGACAGTTGTCGTCGTCAATCTCCGTACACGTGGATCACACAAGGTGCGGCTCGAGCGTTCGAGACAGCACGTGGGTGTCGGGCTGCTCGTCACTGCGTGACAAGATGTCTAGGGGCAGATCATCCACCAGCTGAGTCAGAAACACCAACAACTTGTCTGTGATCAAGGTGAGATTGCCCTCCTCCACCTTCTCGAATATGAATCCCAGTAGATCGCCCTGCTCCGCCGTTCTCGAGGCTTGGATGATCAAAAGCTCCACGCTGTCCTCTGGGTGCTCTAGTCCTTGTCCGAACGGGACCGTTTCTGACCAGTGGAACTCTATCTTTAGTAGATAGAAAGCGAGCTCGATATAGTCCTCCCACCGCGTGTTCCACTTCTCCTCGCTCAATAGCGGCGCACTGTTCTCCTTAACACGGTAGGAGAGAGTAGGATCCCGTGCAGACTGCCAAAGGGTGGGGATGCTGGAGGGGAGGCCCAAATAGGAGACGAGACGATGACTCGTTGGGGCGGCGCGAAGCTCCGAAAGCACGATCGATGGCGACCTTCGAGACGAGCGGAGCTGGAAGTCCGTGTCATGCGCCGGCACGATGGTATCTCCTCGTCGAGCAAGGAGATCTGTCCACGCTGCTGGCACTTCGCCGGCCCAGACGCGCAACGTCCGATATATGTCGGAGTGAATCGCCGGCGGGATTGTTGTGATATCCCCTGTAAAGACGACAACAACGACGATATGGCTAACCTGGGAGGGGATAGCCGTCGGAAGGCCGAGATCTCGGCTAGAACGCGCGTGGTTGCCTCCTCCGTGAATCGGAACTCTGCCGCCTCGTAGATCGCCGCCGTGCTGAAGAAAGCTGCGAACCGGAGGAGATCAGAGCAGAGATGGGGCCGCTGCACCTGCCGTATGACACTGAATCGCCCCCGCAGAGTAAGAAGTTGCGCGCCGATCACTTGCTCCATTGCAAAGCTCATGGCGATGGTGACAGGGTAATAGAGAAAGAACAGTAAGGCGACAGAGAGACAAGAGAGAGGTAGTTGTCGCCTTCTTCCGCAGCGGAGGAGGAATCGGATGAATGTGAAGATGGAGAAGGAGGAAGGGGACGAAGGTAGGACATGTGGCGGATGATCGGGCGAGCCGATCCGCTGTCGGAGACCTCAGACGCAAGTCGCACGGTGTTCACGTCGTTTGGTCCGAGTTCGATCACGAGAAATCGCCCGAAGAATCGAGGCGCTAGCTTACCCTGGCGAGCACATTTCCTCACCTGCACGATGTCCCCTAATTTGTATTGGGGCCGTGGGCCTGCGTTCCCATTCCGGGCCTCGTAGCTTCGGACCTGTCGGCCTTGGGCCAACTCAGTCATTCCATGCCGTTTTCAGGCTAGCCTGGGCAGGCACTGTTCCATTAGTTCCAAGTGTCGTTTGGCCTTGTCCCGAGCCGTGGCCCTGGTGGGTCGTCGGTTCAGTGTAGATTCATTCGGGAGGCTTGGTAACAAAACGCAAGTGACGTTATTGGTCCTTAATTGGAAGGGGCTTAGCCCCGTCGATTCATGAGGTGTACCGCGATGGACCGCCTGGATGTGGTCGACGATATCGGGCCAGGGCCTCGGATCCCGTGCCGCGATATTTCGTCGCAACGCTGTCTTTATCACCCTGTTCTCGTTTTCTTCTAGCCCATTGGACTGTGACGTGTGGGGTGCAGTGTTTCGTATGGCGACGCCATGTATGACCAGATTCCTCAGTACCTCTCCCCTAAATTCAGCCCAGTTATCGGTCAGGATCTCTTATGTATCTTGGTGCGTCCCGAGAAAGCGGTTGACGTACCGCGCGATTTTGGCGGCTTGTCGCGTGCGACAAGGGTAGGCCTGGATCCATTTCGAAAAGTGGTCGACAAATACCAATAGGACTGAATACTCACAACTATTAGGACCAGGGAGCACCACTATGTCAGTAGTGTCCATGCTGACTCTTTGAAATGGTCGTTCAACTACCGTTGGCACTATCGATCTTCGCGGCTGAATTGGCGCCTTATCAGCGGCACAGACTTGACAGTTGGCGAAGATGTACTTCACATCATCGCGGATATTGGACCAGTACCACTCATTTTTGTCGATAGCCGACTCTGTGATCCGTACGGCGAAATGAGCCGCAGTTTCTTCATGTGTCGTCTTAACCCAGTCATACCTCATGAACGGATGTGGTACAACCATCCAAACCCCATTGCCGTCTGTTTTCCGTTTTTCTAATCTGCCCTCTATCCATCTGTAATCCCGAGCCCTCTCGTTGGCCCTCCTCCGATCTTCCTTGGTGAAATCCTGGAGGGGGTTACCCACTATGGTGGCAATCAAGGTGATATCAGTCCATACTTCGGCCCTTCTAAACTTCCGGGTCTTTTCCAATCCTTCTGACGTAGCATCCAAAAAGCGAACCTCCATCGGAATCTTGTTAGTCCGACACAAGGGGCACAACCACGGTTTACTATCGTTTCTGTATTGGATGCACGAGCCATGGGCTCGTGCGACACACTGTCGACAATCTATCCAGTCCGCATAGCCTTCCCCGTTAAGACGCATGGAGACCGAGTACACGCGGGAGATGGCTTCGCAAAAATAGCAAAATTTGTCAGGCAGGGAGAGGAGAGACGAAGAGCAGAGGGGAGAAAGAGGGGTGGTGGGGTTACCTTTATCACCCATTGCCACCGTTCTGCTTCTTGCCACGTGGGAGAACTGCCACTTGTCCGTACTTAGGCTCGTTTGTCAAGTCCGGCTCCTTCCACGGTGTAATTTCCTCGCCCTTTGGTACTTTAGCAGGTCGATGCAGACGTGTCAGTCCGTCCACGTTACCGTGTCGCTCTGTCTTTCGATGAACGATATCGAAGTTGTACTCTTGTAGTCGCACCACCCAACGGCCAATCATGCCCGTGTAATTAGTGAGCTTCTTCAATGCCAACAAAGGTTCGTGATCTGTTACGAGGCGAAACTTCTGTCCGTAGAGAAACGGATGGAAGTGCTGGATTCCCCAGACTACTGCATAGCATTCGCCTTGAGGTGCTGAGTCATTCCTCCGTTCGTCTGGTACCGTAGGAGACGCTTACTCGATGACGTGTTCACGACCATCGTTCCCCTTCTGCGCTAGAATAGCGGAGATAGCTTCCGGTTGCCAGTCCGTGATGAAAATGAACTGCTTCGAGGGGTCCGGCCGAATCAAAATAGGGGTCGTTKCCAGAGCGTCCTTRAGGGTTGCGAAAGCYTGTTGSCACTCCGCGTCCCAACTKAGAGGCGGGTCCTTCCGTAGCAGGTTCGTTAGTGGTCGTGCAATCGCGGCGAAACCCTTGATGAAGCGACGGTAGTACGATGCCAACCCTAAGAAGGCTCGAACCTGCGTCAGCGACRTGGGAACTGGGGCTTCTCTTACCGCCGCAACCTTTCTTGAGTCCGACCGCAGTCCTCCAYGTGTCACGACGTAGCCCAAGAACGAAATTTCCAAGAGAAAAAACTCACTCTTCTCGAGCGCGATCTTGAACCCAGCGTCTCTCAGCGCTCCCAATGTCYACTCSATGTGTTGCGCATGCCCGTGATTGGTCTYCGAGTAGACAAGGATATCGYCCATGTACACGATCACGCAGAAGTTGATCATCCCCTGTGTTAGCCGCGTCTTGTTGACGAAGTTCTGGAATGTCATGTTCATTGCTCGCTGAAACGTGGAAGGCGCGTTATAAATCCCCATCGGACACCGAACCCACTGCCACGTGCCTTCAAACAACACGAAGGCCGTCTTTGGCCGATCCTCATCCTTCACCAGAATGTGATGGAAGCCATGCCGAATATCGAACTTGCTAAAATAATTGACGCAACCAATCACATCCAACAAATCATCAATTTGAGGGAGGGGACACACATCCTTAATCGTGCTTTCATTCAACTTGCGATAATCGATGCATATGCAAAATGATCCGTTTTTCTTCAGCACTAACACTACGGGAAATGACCATGGTCTGGTGGCGGGTTCAATCCACCCGCTGGCTTCAAATTCCCGAATTCGTTCGAGAGCCTTTTTGCGTTCTATCAGGGAGTATCGGTACGGCTTGCAGTGGATTGGGGAATGATTCCCCGTTTGTATTTCGTGTTGAATGAATAACGACAGGCCAATGTCAGTGTCTGTTACGCTAATTGCTTCTCGATATTCCATCAGGATGTCCGCAATCAACCGATGAATCTCATCGGGTACGTACTGTGGCACGTGTAACTCAAAAAGTTGGTCCCAGATCCGTACATCTATCTGTTTTGTGCGTGCGGGTTTCGCCACATCGGGTGGGGGCGCAGAAATGAAGGAATGGTCCGATCGCCAGGTGAACACCGTGGCCATCATCTGGGCATCTTCTTCCCGAATGGCCATGTGTCCTTCTGGGGTGATTCCGTCACAGACATCCTGCCATGGTACGGTTTTAGTTGCGATCTTTACTCCAAGTTCATCTGAGTCAGCTTCAAGGCGCTTAGGGGGTTCCAAACAATAGGCTTCTGCCCCCAGGCGCAACAATTGCACTTCTTTTGCAGATGTCAAGAGGGACCTTCGTAGATCCGTAATGTCGCAGTAATGCTTTTTGTCCCTGTATCGGGAGAGAAGTGAGGTGATCCCTTCGTACAGGGTTTGAGGGGGTTCCAAAGAATCAACCATCCTCGAAATCTGCACGAGGGGTTCACCCAAGATCATCGCCTTGGTCCTTTTAATGTTCCTACTAGTCAGATGCATGGTTCTTGCTATCGTTTTGGGTGGCGGGTACTAAACACGCTGTCGTGCTAGCTTCGAGATTTCCGGATCATCCTCATCACTGCTGATCGCATCATTCGTTGATGACTCCCCATCTGCGGATTCATCCCAGGAGATCATACGAAGAGTCCCTGCCATCATCGGCGAAACCCGTGGGACCGCGTTGATGGTGGTACGAAGGGTTAGTCTCATAGGCACAGCATAGGGCTTTCCTCCCGTATTTCAGAGGACGATCGATCGTCGTTCGAAATCCAGGTTCGCTCGTAACGCCACAAGAGCAGGAAGTCCGAAGAGAACGTCGTACGTATTCACATCTAGCACGACGACATCTCCCAGTGCGTGCACCTTCCCTGATCGGAAAGCGACGTTGGTCATCCTTCCCACTGTTTTAATTTTTTCTTCGTCGGCCAAAACGAAGTGATCTTTCTCGGAAAGCATGATCAGATCGTTTTTCCTACCTGCCCTCTCAACCACTCTTAGCGAAATAGCCAACACAGCCGCTCCCGAATCTATAATTGCGTTATAAGGAATTCCCCAAATTTCAATATCGCATTCTGCGGATTTTCACGGGATGGGCTTAATCCGCAAGAAATGATCGTCTTTCTGGATTAACCCTACCCGAATTGGATCCGAAGTGCCCGCCGGGTTTTCCTCGGGCGCGGGGTTTTTAGACTTTACGTTCGGTATTCGGGCGAGGGCGAATCGTTTTCGGTTCCCGTTGAAGTGCTGTAGCATTCGCTCATTAGCTTGCTCAGAGATCGAGAGCAGATGGCCGATCGGAAGCGGAATCCGATTGTCCAAAGCTCGGATGATGTTTAACACGTTAATTTCCCCTGTGACGAAGGTGGTTCCTCTCGACTCCATTTCTCCTGGAGAGGGTCGCCACTCCGCCACTTCCTTCTGTTCTGGCGCTGGTCTGATCGTTCCGATCATTCCAAGCCCGATATATCCAAGCGATACGTACTGATCTAACGGGATGAGCTCAGCAGCCTCTTCCGTGGTGGCTAAGGCACTTCCCCCACCCTCTACTTCTTCCATTAAAGCTCCGACTCGTTCTGGTCCGTTAGCGATGGGGGCCTCAGCCATCGGCGCGACTCCGACATGTTGTTGCGGAGGCCTGTGAAAGCAATCACGGGCTAGATGCCCTGGTTGATGATATGCGTAACATCCGTTCAGATTGCTTTTGACTCCCCCAAGAGCGGGTGCCGGGGCTAACACTTGCTGAATCGGAGGGGCGCGCACCGCAATGGGCTGCATGTTCCTCATCATGGGTTCCAACCAAGCATTGTGCTATCGCTGCTCCTTTTTGCTTTCTTGGATCAAGCTAATTAGCGTCTTGGTGAGCTAAAAAATGGCTGCGGACTCACTCGACCTTACAGGGGTCTCAACAGGCGGGGGGGGTAACGCCCTTACAGGTGTTGGTATCATAGGAATAGGGATGCTCGGGATTTCACTTGGGGTAAGTCGTTTGGGACCTATCTGCTCCAGATAGGTAACGGGGCCTGGCACAAACCCCATGTTTTCGAACTTATTCTATAATGCAGCCTGCTCAGCTCTCGCTCGTGCGAGTTCGGATGAATCTCCTTCTCTAGAATAATCTTCTCCTTCTAGGAAGTTCGCCGTGAAATTCCGTTTCATTTCTTCCGCAGCGGTCATGATTTGTTGCAGCGTGCGAGTTATGGGGGAAAATTGCTTTCGCAACTTAGCCCTTATTGTTCGGCTGCAAAGCCCATCAATGAACAAATCTCTCCCTACTTGCTCACCTCGCTCAGTTTTCACAAACATTCGGTAGAACCGGTTTCGATATTCTGCAACGGATTCAAGAGGTTTTTGCACTCGGTCCTTGATCATGTAAAGCGCTTGCTCCGGGTGAACATAATCAAATCGATTCATGAAATCCCGTTCGAAGTTCGGGAGATCAACCCATACGTAGGTACTAAACCAATGATGAGCGTCTCCTCCCATTCGAGCCGGAATGTTGATTTGTGCTTCGTTATCATCGTACTGTTGTGCTCTAAGTGTGGCCAGCCATGCTCCTGCAAGATGATGTGCTAGATCGAATAGATAGAGATCAGGTCGCGTCATGGGAGCCCGTGCTCGTGAGGCGGGTTGATTAGGATTCGGTTGATTAGCATTCTGTTGCGGATTCGAGTTTTGCACATTAGCATCCATATTGGCTGCTCGTCGATTAGCCGATCTGCTTCGGGTAACGATAGGGTCGCGTCTATGCGCGTTCCGGGGGCGAGGCCGCCCTCGGTTAGCCAGATCGCCTAATTAGCGTGCTATCAATCCTAAGACCCAGCCAAGTGTCGGGCTCCGATACCAACCTCACGCCCAGTGCGACTTCCTGATCGGAGTAGGATGCGGACCTGGAAGTGCGAAAAGGGGTGTGCCAAGGATTTTTGGGAAAGTGGAGTCCCAGGTCGGAACTAAGATCTCATGTGACATGTTCTTTCGGGGGCACGAGTGCAATTTGGCG